TCCTGCTCGGGCGTCAGTGGTCGGTGGGCGTTGGGCGGTAGGCGGAGGGGGTGGGGCCGGGCTGTGGCCCTACTGTTGTTGCTTATCACTAGACCACACCATTATTCCTTGTTGTTGTTGTTGCTGCTGTCGCTCAGTATATGTGCAGTATTGATTATTCCCACAGACAGATGATGGAATAATGGAAAGGTTGGTTGGGGGGATGTTACGCTTAATCTGCAATAAAAAGCCAAGATTGAAAATTGCATTTCACACAGCTTATTTTCCACACCCACACACACACTGGAGCGTAGGGAAAATGTCACGGGTGGGTGTGCGTTTGTATGTGTTTGCTAGGTAAACACGACAGATCTTGTCGTCCGTTTGTTGACTAACGGTAAAATGGGTAATCAATTAAGCGCTTGCATGCGCATAACTTTCGGTCGACACCTGATTTAAGGTTTTATTACGATATTTGCGTATTGAAAAAGGCCCAACCGTATATTTCGATACATACACAAATGTCAATAAACATGCATATGTAAGTGCCGTATATCAACAAAGGGGGATTTAAAACAAAATGCCCCGTTATCGCACTAAAACAAATAAAGTCACACACTAATTAATCACTAGTCCCCGGACTTAATTTGCATTATTTACATGCGATTTTTTCAAATTGCGATTGTGGCGGGCTTATGAAGTGAGGAAAAAAACTTTCTCGAAGTATTTATTTTAATATTCGAGAATATATTGTGAGTCACTTTATGCCTACTTTGTAAATATTCAACAAGTGGAGGACTTACGGTTTATTTCTGTCCCCTGTCAGGAGAAGAATGTTCGTTATACCTGATTTCCTTACCTGTAGCTGTAGGGATGGAAATGGCATATCGCAGTTGAGTTATCGATATTTTGTATACTTTTACCTGTACCGTTGAAACATCGGATTTCCATTTTAACACAAAAATATGTTAATATTCATCACAACATTTAATATGATTGGAAATAATAATAGACAATAATCTCCCACAACATAAAATCCTAAGTTTTACTAGCTAAAAACAATTCAAGAAATTCTAATTAATAACGGTAACTATCGATCGATAGTTGGCAACATGGTCGCATCTCTAACCAGTGTTGACTAACGCCCGCTGCGCATCAGGTGGCAACCGTGTGCCTTTACACCAAGCAAAACAACTATTATTATTATTGAAATTCAGCACAAAGTTCAATGATTTTTAGGTCCTGCACACGCCCGCAATTCGATCAGCAACTGAAGTCCTAGCGATAAGTATGTAAGTGAGAGTCGTAAAGCAGACAATTTCAGCCGAAGCACCTGGTATTTTGTGCAGTGTAAAGGCGCCAACGATGTTTTGTCTTCGTCTCGCACCGAGCACAACGCAAATTTATTCAAAGACCCACTGCCACATTTTGATACGCTTCCGAGTAGCTAAACACGTTTCGTATGCTTGCATGTCCATTTCGTAATCCCCTTGACCAGGAACTAAGGTCTGTCCACGCGAGATGGCGGCGATAAAGGTGAGATTGAGATGGAGATTCCCCTTCCCATTTTCTAAATGCGTTGTAACTTTGTAACTTGGAAACCCAAAAACAGAACATCACCCTGGGCATTCTGTACGGCCTGTGGGACAGCATACGTGGCATGACTTTGGTCCTGCACATCGACGACGAGGTCAATCGCCAGAATGCCGAGCAGGAGCACCGCCAGCAGCTGCGACGCACCGACAAGGATCGCTACGAACGCGCCAGGAGATCCCCCTCGCCAGTTCCCAGCTCGGCGGCCGCCATGATCCGCGAGGAGTACGCCAAGCAGGCGGAGGAGAATGCCGACGAGCGGACGCTGGAGAAGATCCTGGGCAAGAAGCCCAGCGTCCAGGAGCAGCAGCCCCAGGGGTAGGTGATCAGTAGCTCCATCTATATACTTCAACTTAAATACTTAAATTCTTAGGGAGAAGAAGATCGCCAAGAAGCTGTTCAAGTGCTGCATGCTCAACGGAGGCTTCACCTGGCTGAGCATCGTCCTCTTCGAATCCGCTTTACTGCCCACGCTCAAATTCTGCCTGACCATCTTCTATGGCGCCCAGTCGGAAACCCTGCCCATCGTCTGGGGCTGGCTGCATCCCATCCTGTCGCTGCTCTTCGGCATGATGTGGGTGCTGCCCATCTTCATGCTCTCCAAGATTGTGAGCTCCTTGTGGTTCGCGGACATCGCCAATGCCGCGTATCGCGTGAGGAAGGGACGGCCGCAGCTGATACCCGGAATCAGCAAACTGGTGGCCGACTTTCTGTTCAGCATGGTGGTCCAGATGCTGTTCCTCGTCCAGAGCATGCTGGTCAATCTGGTGCCCGTGAAGTATGTGGGCTCCTCGCTGTGCTTTGTGCATCTGTGCCTGCTCTACTCGCTGTACTCCTTCGAGTACAAGTGGTTCAACATGGGCTGGGAGCTGCACCGACGGCTCACCTACATCGAGAAGAACTGGCCGTATTTCTTCGGCTTCGGCATACCGCTGACCGTGCTGACGAACCTCTCCAGCTCGGTGATCGTCAGCAGCTGCATCTTCTCCATCTTCTTCCCCCTCTTCATACTCAGCGGCAATGAGGCGAAGCCCATTGTGGACACCACGTAAGCGTTTTTGGTTTGGTAACACAGTCGAGCTTCGCTAAATCGAATTTGTCGTGGTAGAAGTTCAAGTTAAAATTTGTATAATGCTACTTTTAATTATCACGCTATTGCATTCCATAGTTTTACTATTCAATTTTTGTTTTATCGTAGTATGCCATGAAATTTCTGATTTGTTTTATGTTTTTCTAATTATTTTTGAATTGAATGAATGAATGAATAATTTTTATAATTTTTTTGAATTTGCCACATTTTTTTTGTGCCTTTTGAGAACAAAAAGTGGAAAATTCTTAAGAAATCAATGTTAACTGCTTAGTAAATCAAATTTAAGCAGATTTAATTACAAAATTATGGCCCTTTCTTCTTTAAAAGAAATTCAGAATTCAAGCCATTCATTCATTCAATTCTATTAAACTGTAAATAAAAATTCATTCAATTCTATTAAACTCAAAATTCTAATTAATTCCTGCATATAAAACAAAAAATTCAAAATAATTCATTGATTCCATTTATGCAGTGCTCTACTATTTATATACGATTTAAAACGTAATATTTTCCTTTGTGACCAGCACGTATCGATTTAGAGAGGCTCTTCTGTACCCCAGCTATAAATATAAATAACCACAAATTTGACTTCCGTCTAGTGAGATCTCGCTGCGTCTCTTCTCGCCGGTGGTCTTCATATCGAACCTCTGCTTCGGCGGCAATCCGTGGAGCAAGGCCAACCGGCTGAGTGCCATGCAGCGGCAGCAATACGAGCTGCAGCAGCGACAGCGTCTGCTCCAGCGGGACGAGCAGCTGCTCAAGCAGCGCAAGCAGCAGTATGTGCAACAGCAACGTTTGCAGCAGGAGCAGCTGATGCGACGGGATCGCTCGCATTCGCGATCGCAGACGCCGCAGCTGGGGCATCCGCATCGCTATGCCCAGGCACCGGTTTTCGATGCGGGACGCGTGCGCGACTCCTCCGCCTCGTCGACGCACAGCTCCAATTCGCCGAGCATCAATAGCCATCGGCCACCGCCTTATTACGGGAGCTCGCTGCGCGGAGCTGCGCCACTTGTGCCCACTCCTGTGCCCGGAGCACCCAGGGCTCCGCTCACCCCGCCCGTGATACGCCAGGAGTCGGGGCCCGATGACTGGAACTTGTGAGATTTATGCTTATATACACGCAACGTAGGCTTTAGCTATACATATATATATAATTCGATCTGTGTAATGTACGTATCATCTACCTATCTAACCATCGTGAACTGTGTAAGTTAAAGATAAATCCTAGGTCTACGCATAATGACAATGTTCGCTAGTCGACACCGCCACCAACACAACAACGCCCCGTTCGCATCGGGCATGACTATATATATAGAGACAAGGAGAGAGTGTGGCTATATCTGAAATGCGGCTCGCGCAACTGCTGCATAATCGTTTAGATGTTTATTTTAGGCGGCGTTTTTCTTTTAAATTTTTGCTCGTAGGGTGCAAGCTCTATACTAGAAATTACGTTGGGCGTAAAGTTCATTTAATGTATAATTAATCAAAAATAAAAATAATTTTGTACTTTCGTCAAAAGTTTGTTGTTGGCTGATTAAGCGTTATCAGCATGATTTGTCTGGGTTTGATTAGAAATAGTGTGAGTCAGAACTAATCGAATTTAAAGGGAGATAGAAAGCTTTAGTAATTAATTAGGGAATTTATAGATTTATTTTTGTTCTATTTATTTTATAGAAAAATAGGTAGTATTTATCAATTTTCTAATCAAAAATTCAGAAATTATTGTATTGTCTGGGTTTGATTAGAAATAGTGTGAGTCGGAACTAATCGAATTTAAAAGGAGATATGAAATTTAAGTAATTTATTAGGGAATTTATAGATTTTATATTTTCTATTTGTTTTCCATTTTTATTTTTCTGTTTATCAATTTTCAAATCTAAAATTCAAAAACATTGTAACCCCTTTTCCATAGTTTCTCCCTCCGCCTTTCCAATAATAATTTCATGTTGATTTGACAATATAACAAGCTTCTCAATACCTCATAATAACTAACCGACCGAATCCTCTTTCCGTAACCGCCACCAATTAACGCTTGAGTTCCAGCACGAACAATCGAATCAGGATATGTGTTCATGCTTGGATTGGGGTGATGGTGATTTTGATGGTGTGTTGAGGGTTTGTGGGCGATTACCCACCAAATTGATTATCACCAAGGTAACACCCATGTGTCCACACATTGTCGGTGCTGAAAGTGAAATTGTCAGTGGCACTGTAGGTTGTATCCTTTTTTAAAAGCGTAATTTCCTGCCCAGTCGCAGTTTGTTGTTCGTGCCGTGCGGTCAATTGTCAGCTCCTGAAATCCTGAATTGAAACCAATCTTTATGTGCAAATCAAAATGATTTTGGTGAACTTAAAGACTTCTCAAAAGGTTTGGCTGTTTGGAATTCTATGGTTATTGAGCGCCTTGACTTGGAAGATCGCTGCACAAACTACTCAAAACATCAATGTCTGTAAGTTGAGAGTCGATCGATCTGGATATAGAAAGGATGTAGAAGATATAAGTAGTGGTGTTATAGAGACTTGGTTTCGAAGTTCATATAAAGTTGCTAGCACTTATTTTTCGTATAAAATATCGGATGCATATCCTTTAAATAGATTTATTAATGAAATCTACATCATATTAACTTAAAAAGTTTACTATTGTCGTTATTAGAATTGTATTTTTTATATCGTTAAAAAGGTAATCTGCTGAAACATTGAAAAAAATACTTCAGGAATGATTTTAAATGTTTCAAATAAGCAAAAATTCAATAATTAATTAATTAAATTATTTTATTAATGAATTTTACATCATATTAATTAAACAAGTTGCATTTTTTCGAAAAAAATATTTATTTTTGATATTGTTTAAAAGGTAATTTGCTGAGACATTGAAAAAATTTTTCATGAATTATTTTTTAGGGAATTTAATTTTCTTTAATTTTGGTTACTACCTATTATAATATTAATAATTTCTTGCACCCATGGATCAAAACAAAATATAAGAGTTTTCTCCAAGAAAGAGATTTCTTCTCCAAGAATTTTACAAGATGGATTTTTTATTACATCTATAGTCTAAAGTTTTCCTTAATGCTCTTTGCTCAGTGCACTTTAAGTAAACTAATTAGATAAAAACTATGGAAAAAGATATGGGACGGGTGGATTATTCGGGTGGTGCCAGTCATAATGAGTTCTAGGGCAAGTAAACAAACGCAATGCCACGTAATGCTTTCGTCAAATGCAATTTAACCCACACAATCCGATCCTTTGGGATAGTGTTTATAAACGAGGTGGATAATGAACCGGCGGCCAAGGCGGTGGATGTGGCGATTACCTATTTGAAAAAGAATATACGATATGGACTCTCCGTACAGCTGGATTCTATTGAGGCGAATAAAACGGATGCCAAAGTGCTCCTGGAAGCCAGTGAGTTTTCTTAAGGATTATACCTGAATAATTTCTGATAACTTGACATCTCTAGTTTGTAATAAGTATGCGACAAGTATTGAGAAAAAACAGACGCCCCACTTGATCCTGGATACCACGAAATCGGGAATAGCCTCGGAAACGGTGAAGAGTTTCACCCAGGCTCTGGGTCTGCCCACCATTAGTGCCTCCTATGGCCAGGAGGGAGATTTGAGGCAGTGGCGTGACTTGGACGAGGCGAAGCAAAAGTATTTGCTGCAGGTAATGCCGCCGGCAGATATTATTCCCGAGGTTATCCGAAGTATAGTGAGGCATTTGAACATCACAAATGGTAAGAAGAATTTATTTTAGAATTTTCTATTAAATATTTGTGATATTATTTCCAATAAAATTAGCTTTTTTTATTCATTTTATGTTTCCAAAACTTGGAAATCAATGTTAAGTGTATAGTAAATAAAATTCAGGCAGATTTAATCACAAAAGTATGGCCCTTTCTTCTTCAAAAGAAATTTTCGTTTGATTTATTTCGGAATGCATGCCATTCATTCATTCAATTCTATTAAACTCAAAATTCAAATTCACTCAATTCTATTAAACTCAAAATTCAAATTCATTAAATTCTATTAAACTGAAAATTCAAAATAATTCATTGAATCCATTCATGCAGGGCTCTATTCCAAATCCTAATATAAATCAATTTCTATACCTTTATCAGCTGCCATTCTGTATGATGAGACCTTCGTTATGGATCACAAGTACAAGTCCCTGCTGCAGAATATCCAAACGCGTCATGTCATCACTGCGATAGCCAAGGATGGAAATCGCGAGCGCGAGGAGCAGATTGAAAAGCTGAGGAATCTGGACATAAATAACTTCTTTATACTGGGCAATCTGCAGTCGATTCGCATGGTCCTGGAATCCGTAAAGCCGGCTTATTTTGAACGTAACTTTGCCTGGCATGCCATCACTCAGAGCGAGGGAGAGATTAGCAGTCAGCGGGACAATGCGACCATCATGTTCCTGAAGCCCATGGCGTATACGCAATATCGGGATCGCTTGGGACTTCTAAGAACCACCTTTAATTTAAACGAGGAGCCCATGTTGTCGTCGGCTTTTTACTTTGATTTGGCACTCAGGAGTTTTCTCACCATCAAGTGGGTTATAAATATATATTTCTTTTTATTTTATATGTATAAACTTTCCTTTTTTTTTTGGATAGGGAAATGCTACAATCTGGAGCCTGGCCGAAGGACATGGAGTACCTGAACTGCGATGATTTCCAAGGCGGCAATACACCCCAGAGAAACGTGGATCTTCGGGAATATTTCACCAAGGTTGGCTTTACCCATTTGTACAACAAATTAGGGTTGATTACTCACTTGTCCGCTTTTGTTGTTCGCTCCATAGATTAGCGAGCCGACATCCTACGGAACCTTCGATCTCGTCACGCAACCCAGGCAGCCCTTCAACGGCTACAGCTACATGAAATTCGAAATGGACATAAACGTGCTTCAGATTCGTGGCGGGAGTTCCGTGAACAGCAAATCGATTGGCACCTGGGCAGCCGGCCTGGACTCGCCCCTCATCGTCAAGGATGAGGAGCAGATGAGGAATCTAACCGCGGACACGGTCTATCGAATCTTCACTGTTTTGGTGGGTCAAGATAGGGGCTTAAGGAGGATGTTTTGAAAATATTAAAAATAGGGATTATAATATTTCTTTAATTATTTTGTAGTTTTTTATTGAGTTTTCAGTTCTCTTTTTGCTTTAAACCTGATTTTTCACCTTCTCGACTTTGTAATTAACTTTAAAATATTAAAACTATCATAATAAAGATAAAATCGCTTTTTATTATATAAAAGTTAGTGTTGTTTTAGTCACAAAGTCAATAAATAAGTCCATTAAAGTATTCGTTTTATTTTACAGCTCCCTTCATTTATTTCGTTTTCAGTACCGTTATTTTGTTCCAAACATAATATTTTACTTCGCTACATTATAATTAACTTTAAAATATTAATGACAAGTTTATGTGGTTTTAGCAGGGACCGTAAATAACAGTTATTTGAGACTTTTATTTGTTCAATTTTTTATCAACAATTTTTTTCGTTTTCAGTACCGTTTTTTTTTTTGTGCCAAACTTAATAATTAACCTTCTCGACTTTGTAATTAACTTTTTAATATTAAAGACATCATAATTAAGCTAAAATTACTTAAGTTTATATTGTTTTAGTCACAAAGTAAATATATTATATTTCAAAATTAAAATATTAATGTATTATTTCTATTTTACAGCAAGCTCCCTTTATTATGCGCGATGAGACGGCCCCGAAGGGATACAAAGGATACTGCATAGATCTGATCAATGAGATAGCCGATATAGTCCACTTTGACTACACTATTCAGGAGGTGGAGGATGGGAAATTCGGCAACATGGACGAAAAGGGCGAATGGAATGGGATTGTCAAAAAGTTGATTGATAAGCAGGCGGATATTGGCCTTGGCAGCATGTCTGTGATGGCCGAACGGGAGATTGTGATTGACTTTACGGTTCCGTATTACGATCTAGTAGGTATCACCATCATGATGCAGCGACCCAGCTCGCCCAGTTCGCTGTTCAAGTTCCTCACTGTTCTGGAGACGAATGTGTGGCTCTGCATCCTGGCCGCCTACTTCTTCACCAGCTTTCTCATGTGGATCTTCGATCGCTGGAGCCCGTATAGTTACCAGAATAACCGCGAGAAATACAAGGATGACGAGGAGAAGCGGGAGTTTAATCTCAAGGAGTGCCTCTGGTTCTGCATGACTTCGCTGACTCCTCAGGGAGGTGGCGAGGCTCCTAAGAATCTCTCTGGACGTCTGGTGGCCGCCACTTGGTGGTTGTTCGGGTGGGTTTTCTATATGATATTTGTCTATTTTTGGTCAGATTTTTACCAAAACTTTTAGGTAGTTCTCATATTTTTAAATATAATAAATTTAGCTGCATATCGGAAATATGCCAAATATATGCAAAAAATATGCCAAAAATGTGCAAATAATATATGCAAAATAAGCAAAATATATGCAAGCAAAGTTTAAGCAATATAAAACAATATTTTTCAACCTAAAATAAATGGCCAAAGAGAATTTTGTCAAGTAAAGTAAACCAAAATATATGCAAAAAATGAGCAAAAAATGTGAAAAACATGTGCAAAAAATATGCAAAAATTATATGCATAAAATATATGCAAACAAAATTGTTTAAAAGCAATATAAAACAATATTTTTCGGCTGTAAATCAATCGCCAAAGAGAATTTTGTCAAGTAAAGTGAATCAAGTGAAAAAGTTAAAATGCCGAAATTATAATTACAATTTATAATGTATTTAAATTAATAATTAATTTTTTCTATCCCTAAGCTTCATCATCATTGCCTCCTACACGGCCAACTTGGCTGCCTTTTTGACCGTCTCCCGTTTGGATACGCCCGTCGAAAGTTTGGATGACCTGGCCAAGCAGTACAAGATCTTGTATGCTCCCCTGAACGGCTCATCGGCGATGACATATTTCGAGCGTATGGCCAATATAGAGCAGATGTTCTACGAGATCTGGAAGGATCTGTCGCTGAATGACTCACTCACTCCGCTGGAGCGCTCCAAGCTGGCCGTTTGGGATTATCCGGTGAGCGATAAGTACACCAAAATGTGGCAGGCCATGCAGGAGGCGTCGCTACCAGCCACCCTCGATGAGGCGGTGGCCAGGGTCCGCAATTCCACGGCAGCCACGGGATTCGCCTTCCTGGGCGATGCCACCGATATTCGCTACCTGCAGTTGACCAACTGCGATTTGCAGGTAGTGGGCGAGGAGTTTTCCAGGAAACCCTATGCCATTGCCGTCCAGCAGGGCTCACATCTCAAGGATCAGTTCAATAATGCGTGAGTAGAAAGGTTATAAAGATATCCATAGTTATAACCTTACCTTTCCTTACGCCCAAAAAAAAAATAGTCATAGAAACGAATCTATTGTTACATGAGTTCTACACTATTGAGTGTCAAATTTGCATCAATAAGATCAGTATTAAATAAGTACTCTTTAAAGTATTAAATTAAAACTTTCGGTATAGAAATGAAACTACAAAATATTAACTTTATACTATTTCTTATGCAATGAATTCAAAGGGACTGTCCATATATTACGTAATCATCTAGGGGGGGTGCAAATTTTTTTGTTTTGTATGAAGAATTGATTTAATGGGGGGGGGTTTAAAAATAGCCGAAATTGTGATTACGTAATATATAGACAGCCCCTAATGAGTATAGAATTTGTACTATTTAGTATTAGGTTAATACAACTTTTCTATCCTTCATCTAGTATATTTTTAATACAACGCTTAGAGAGTTAACACTTTTGATTTTTTTTTTTGGGTGTAGCATCCTGACCCTGCTCAATAAAAGACAGCTGGAGAAGCTCAAGGAGAAGTGGTGGAAGAACGACGAAGCTCAGGCCAAATGCGAGAAGCCGGAGGATCAATCGGATGGCATTTCTATCCAGAACATTGGCGGCGTCTTCATTGTGATCTTCGTGGGCATCGGAATGGCCTGCATTACGCTGGTCTTTGAGTACTGGTGGTATAGATACCGCAAGAACCCGCGGATCATCGACGTGGCCGAGGCCCATGGCGATCGATCGGATGGTAAGGATCATCCTGGCAAAATGGCCGATGGAGTGATTCTGGGCAATTCGGGCGAGAAGTTCGAGAAATCAAATGCTGCACTGCGTCCGCGCTTTAACCAGTATCCGGCCACATTCAAGCCACGTTTCTAGTTTAACTCTGTTTGGCGATGTATCGAATATTATGGTAAAACGTGCACTGGGATGTCTACGTCTAGTATTTAAGAAATTTTAAGACACTTTGTGCACTTTTATTCAAATCGTAATAAATGTTTTAACAAAGATCAGTACCTAGTTACTAAATTGGCTTAAGAATTTATTATTTTCATCTGAATAAGCCGGACTTCATTTAGAAAGAAAATCCTTTAAAATTTTGGTAAAAGCTTTTACTATTAAATATAATAGCTTTTGCATTACTTCTAAATATTAAAGGTTATCTAGGGTCAAACAAGAATTTTCGTCATCGGTTTTAGAGACCCTTTTAAAAGCACGGAAATAAGTGATTGATAAAAACTCATGGGAAAAGTAACAAAGCAAATCTCCCTCATATTTCAGTTGCTTTTCTAAGCCAAGCTTAATCGGATTGTCGTTTATGTAATTTAAATTTTAAAATGCTCAAGTTCGTGGCAGTTCTTTTCTTCGTATTAATGACTGGTAGTTGTAATGGATCACTGGCTAGACCCCGGATAAGTGCGAGTCCTGAAAGTCAATCTGAGGACCAAGAAAAGATGAAGTATATTATGCCTAGGTTCCAATTGATTGACAACAGGATGTTCTATATTCAACACATTACTCGAAAAAATTGGACTAGTGCTGCCAATTACTGTCGGGAAACTGGTGGACATCTGGCCTCGATTAAAAACGCAGAGGAGCTCGGCGCCATCGTATCCAATTTGTGGAGTATTTATGGCTACTGGCTGGGAGTCAACGATCACGACGTAAAGGGAGACTTTGTATCATTGGCCTCTGGAAAGCCCGCCTTTTTGAAGTGGCATTGGAATCAGCCCTCTCACTATCTAAACCTAGAGAACTGCGTTGAAATTTTTAGATACAGAACCGACCAAATGTCGTTGAATGATTGTGAGTTAGAAAAACCTTTCATTTGCCAAAAAGATGATGAAGTTTAGTTAAAAAAAAAAAACAATTTCCACTGAATAAAAAATAATTTAATTTTAAATAAATAAATTATTTCAATAAAAATAAAACACTTGTTTAAAATATATAATTTTGAAAATTAAATTGTTTTTATTGTATTGTAGGTTCTAGATTAATTCAAGAAAGCTTTATTTTTGGTTGCCCCTTATCAACATTATTATGTGATTCAAAACCTGAGCACCATTAGTTCCAAATAAAAAGGAATTTACGTCATCGGCTTTAAAAAGTCTTTTAATCTCGAATATACGTGATTGATAAGCCCAAGTATAAAGTATCATATTTCAGTAGCTTTTCTAAACCCAGCTTAATCGCATTGTCGTAAATTTAACTTAAAATGCTCAAGTACGCAGCCGTTCTGTTCTTCGTTTTAATGACTGCTAGTCGTTGTGGATCTTTGGCAGGACCTCGAATAAAGTTTCATCACACGTATGGGTTCGATATGATCGGCTCCAGATGGTTCTATATCGAACACAATAATAGCAAAAATTGGACTAGTGCTGCCTCTTACTGTCGCGAGATCGGTGGACATCTGGCCGCGATTAAAAACGAAGAGGAGTTACTCGAGATCAGACGTTTTCTCAGGAATGATGGTGGCTACTGGCTGGGCATCAACGACCACGATGTAAAGGGAAACTTTGTGTCTTTGGCCTCTGGAAAACCAGCATTTTTGAAGTTGCATTGGACTTCTTCTTACTATTACAATGAACAAAGCTGCGTTGAAATTTTTAAATTCGAAACCGACGATATGCTGATGATAATGTGTTCCCATGAAAGACACTTCATTTGCCAATGGGATAATGAAGTTTAGAAAAAAATATCCATACAAAATTCACTATTCCAATTGTCAATGTTTCATTTTGGTGTTTAAATAAATAAATTTGAAGAATATGACTACATAACTTGTTTATTGCGCTGTTGAATTCTGATTTAAAAAATAGTACATTTTTAATACAAAGTCTGCACTTTTGTATATACCTACTGATTTTAAAATTATTTTATTTTGCGTCCTTTTTTATTGTATTTTAATAGGGGTTCCCGGCTTTAAATATTTTTATTTGATAATGTAAAAAATAATACTTAAAGAAAATGTTTACAATGGTAATAACCTTTTTTCACATATGTTATGTGCATCACATGTGCATGCTTTACAATTAATTATAAACATTAATGGTTTGAATTTGATAAAAAAAAATTATTAAAAACCGTTAAAAAGTGTGCTTAATTCGAATTTGTAGTATTTAAGTTTTTTAGTATTAAAATAAAGCTTGTTAAAAAACACATACCAAATTTTCAACACTATTTTACAACACTGTCGCTTCCAGCCCTGGTTCTATAAAAAATCAACATAAAATTCCACCCGCAAACGCGCCCAACAGTTTTGTTTTCAATTAACCGCGATGGGGGACAGTTCGGATGAGGAATACTTGGGCAATGATTGGCTGCCGTACAGCGAGCGCTCCGACTGGGAGGATGTGGAGCCCCTCGCCCAGGACGACGGCCCCAATCCGGTGGTCTCCATTGCCTACAGCCAAAAGTGTGAGTAATGCAGGCGGCATTATCTTTGGCCAGTCCACCATATCTAAGTACATATATCCACTTTCCTTAGTCCGCGAGGTTTTCGACTACATGCGAGCCGTAATTGCGCACGGCGAGAAGAGCCAGCGCGCCCTGGACCTCACCACGGATGCACTGCGTCTGAATCCGGCCAACTACACCGTTTGGCAGTACAGACGCGACATCCTGCGCGAACTGAAGGCCGATCTGAATGCGGAACTGGACTATCTGAGCGAGGTGATTGGCCAGAACTCGAAGAACTACCAGGTGTGGCACCACCGACGCGTCATCGTCGAAATGCTGAACGATCCCAGCAACGAACTGGAGCTCACGGAGAATGCACTGGTCAACGATGGCGATGCCAAGAACTACCACGCATGGCAGCATCGCCAGTGGGCCATAAAAAGCTTCAAGTGAGTGGGAATAGGAAGTTTATAGCACATAGGTTCTATTACAACAGATCTACATATATAAAATCATTGAAATTTGGCCGAAAATTGCTTTAAAAAGTCATGTATTGTCTGTTTTATTAGTTATTTTATTAACATAAATGATTAAGCTTTAATAAATTCTTACCATTGTAATTCCAGACTCTACGACGACGAACTGAACTTTGTGGATCGTCTGATCTGCGAGGATCAGCGCAACAATTCGGCCTGGAACCAGCGCTTCTTCGTCATCAAGCACTTTGGCTTCACACCGGACTTAATACAGCGCGAGCTGACCTACACGATGAACCGCATTCGGATTATCAAGAACAACGAGAGCGCCTGGAACTACTTGGTGGGAGTGATGCGACAGGGCGACAGTGGAAAAGCAGGACTGAACAGCTACCCAGAGGTGGTGGCCTTCGTGGAGGAGATCTACCAGGCTGGCAATCGATCGCCCTATCTGCTGGCCTTCCTCATCGATCTGTACCAGGAGCAGGCACTCCAACTGAAGGCTGGCGATAACGATCAGCTAGCAAGGAAGGTGTACGGCCTGTGCGAGGACATGGCCACCAAACACGATGTGATCCGTCGAAAGTACTGGCAGTATGTGGCCACCCATCTGAAGAACCAGCTGAGCAAAGTTCAGGAGGAGCAGTAGTCCAGGTCCGAAATTCATTTTTGCTTAGTTTTAAACCACATACGACGTACTTAGGCCTTCTTTATACATAAATAAAATTAAATTTACCAGTCGAGCGAGTGTCGAGAATGTTGCAAAACCCAACCTAGACATTGCCACATGTCATCATTGTGTTTGCGGCATCTGTCCCGCTTTGTTTATCTAAGTGAGCTGTTGTGTTTGTACACGTAAATTTCATTAACAATGAGCAGATAATTTTAGCGCAGTGTCTACGCCAGCTGAGGCCATTCAGCCGCCGTTTAAGTGAGCTCGTAAATTATGGAAATAATTTAATGCTTTTAATGCTAGGCTTTAGGAAGAGCTTCTGTTGTTTGTGTGCAAATAAATGTGGGAATATTTGGACAGAAATGTGAGAAGCGTAGCAAATATTTTAGAAAATATAATGGCATTTTCTAGAGTAGATTTTTCTCTCCAGTTATCTTGGTTACTGGAAAATCGTTATCTTTTTCGTCAGAGACAGGAAGAACCTTCGGTGTGCTGTCTCAATATTGTTATTTATTTAAATTTGCTTCTTTTAGTTTTTCGTTTTCTCATTGGTTTTTAGTTCGAGTACATACAATATAGCAGTTGTAATATATAACTTTTTCATTAAATTTGATTTTCTTGCATATATATTGAGATTCGGTTTTTGCATTTTTATAATAGAAAACCTCCAAAGATGACTCCAAACTGGACCAAAATCATCTATAAGGAAGGAGTGGGAATCGGGTTGGGGAATATGTACTTAAAATGAAGCAGAAGACATCTTTGGCGTGTTTTTTATTTTGTTTCGGTTTTTAGTTCAGCTAAATAGGAGCAAAATCATTGAGTACTCGTTTGCATAGTTTGATAAAATTTCGTAATAATAAAATATATATTTATTTTGTATTTTTGTTTGGTTTTCGCTTCGTTTCGTATTTTTTTTTTGGATTTGGGTATATATATAAATTTGAAAAAAGCCTATAAATCCAAATTTAGTTGGTACAGGACCATTTAAAATCAAAGCACTTCATTTGGGTCATCGAAAGTATTCAATATTATTTGAAAAATATATATGTAGTATTCTGAAACGGTTTCTTTAAAAAGAGGAAAGTGTGCAAAGCTCTGTTCCATGGCCCAAGCGAGAGATTTGTTTGTTTGTTTTTCGGTAGCAAAGACCGTTGATTCGAGATTGTTATCCTGTTCAGAGATTTTGCGTGGAGAGCCAGAAGAGAGAAGTAGTTTGTGTGTGTTTTTTGTTTAGTTCGTTTAACAATTTGATATATAGAGTTAATATATATAATAGTTTTAATAAATTGATGCGCTCCCTTCTATTTATTTTTCTTTTTGAGCCATTCTGTTTGTGTTTCTTGTTTCGTTCTTGGAGTTCATTTTTGTAAAAGCATTTTTAGCAAAAAATTAAAAATTCTCTCTGTACTCGGTTCCCGTTTAAAATGTCTGACTTCAGCGCTCGCTCTTGATCGATTAAACCCCCCTCGTTAATGTTTAGTTCTTGTCATCGAATCCTAATCAATACCCATATAAAATAAATCCCTTGATTCTGGCCGAAAATTCGCGTTCTCCGATAACCGACGACGACGTCGCGTTTCTGTGTGAGGAAGCTTTATATACCATCTATAAATATACTCGTACAATTTCTTGGTTTTCATTTTCTCGTTAATATAATTGTTTAAAAAATCAACGCCACTTGATGTGTGCCATGTCCTGTCTGTCCTAAAGAGTCCTAAAAGGTGCTTACAGCTTTAAGCATAAGTTTAGCGTAGGCGTAGCGCTCCGATCGATCTCGTATCTGGTATCCTGGCATCTGTCATCTATCATCCGGTATCCCTAACCCAGCCTGGCCTACTTGTCCTCCCCGATGCCCTCGTCGGTTGTGGTCTTGCGCTCCCTCGCCTCGTCGCCGCTGATATCACATTTTTCAGCCAACATATCCTCGATTCCCTCGTCCACCGTCTGGCTCTCGCCGGGCACATGCTTGCGCCGCAGCTTGGTCACCACCACGCACTCGCCCTGCGGCAGCGGCGGAAACTTTCCGTAGGACGTGTTGCCGATGGTTCCCACGGTGCTGTCCTCGTAGCAGTCCGGCGTCATCCGCACGCGGCACGTCTCGAAGGCCTTCTCGTAGCCCAGCTTGGTGTACAGACTGCGGGACGCATCGTTCCCGGGACGTATCACAACGAAGGGCGTGTAGCCGCGCTCGATCACCAGTTGGGTCAGCGACTTGGCCAGACGGATTCCATAGCTGTGGGGTAAGAAATGTATTATTAAATAAGTAAATCCACAGAATCTACACTTTATAACAAGTCAAAAGTTTTGACTTGGTCTGAAGAATTCGCGATCTCATTATGTTGAAGAATTACTGTGTACAAGTACAAATTGCAACCTTTAAAATTCCAACAAAAGAGACTTAAGACTTATATATTTTCAATCACCAAATAAAAGTTATTTAAGAATTTTTTTAATAAACGTCTTCTCATAAAAGTTACGCAGGACTTTTATTTTTTCAGTCAAAAATAACTGTTATTTTTAGATTTTTATTATAAAAGTCATGAATAAAAGTTACGGAGGACTTTTATATTTTTGGCCAAAAAATAACTGATGTTCTCTGACTTTTAATTTAAAAGTTTGAAATAACAGTTACCTCATGGCTTATAAATAAAAGGTGTTGAATAACGATTAATCGATGTCTTTTAAAGTAAAACTTATAATTACTAATACTTTCGGATATCAAAAGGTGACCCAGAATTACTGTATATTTCACTGTATTCGATAAAAGAATATTTTCAAACTTTGGAAAACATTTTGTCAATAGGTTTTAATAGATTTTACTTAAAAAGAAATAAAAATTTCGCCTAAAAAGGTTATGCGAAACATCTACTTTAAATTTAATAATTTTCTGGGTCACCTAGGACTAAATTCCGCCTTGGAAAAATGGAAAATCCCCCTCTACTTTAGGTCTACCTACCCCATGCGCCTGAAGTCTGGACGTGTTTGCATTGAGAACATGGCGCCGTAATATGAGTGGACCATCCAGGCGGCAAGCTCACCGGTTTCCTTGCGAAAGATGCCCAAGCCGGGGAGCTTGCGCACGAGGATGTCGAACAGCTGGACGCACTCGATTTCGTTGGCAGGATATAGATCATGGATGCCCTGCACGTTGTCCAGGTTCAGCAGACGCATCTCCGCGTCCTCCGGCAGCGGCTCCAGCTCCAAGTCGGCGTTCAGCTTGTTGCACACGTAGATATCACCACTGAGTCGTTCCATCACACCGAACTTGGAGTAGAAGTCATCCAGGCGATTCATAATGGCGATGTGCGTAAAGTTCAGGTACATAGGCTTCTGCCAATCTATAAGTACATCTTCGGTGCGCAGCAAATCGACATGCTCGATGTGTGCGGATGGACAAAATATGCCAAGAGTTTGGTATATATTGTTGTGCGGCTAAATAAATATTTAAAATTATTTTATTAGGGTCTTAAATATAATAAATTCTATACTCACCGCAAGCGTGCATCCTGGGAAATGGAGAATTATCGGTTTGTCGGGCCAATCTTTAGCAACATAAAACTTAAAATCCCAAATACGATCATTCAGGTACGTTTTTATGGTTTGATGAAACTGCAAATAGAATTGGATATTATAAAATGTAATAAAATGTTAGCTTTTTTAAAATCATTAGCAACATGAAACTTAAAATCCTGGTACGACATTATGATTTGATGAAACTGAAATTAAAAAGGAATATAGTTTAAATAAAGATTGTTTTTTAATGTTTTGAATGGTTTAAGGCTCAATTTTGATGTGCTTTTGTAAAACCAGTTTTAAGATCTGTAAGTTCTTTTCTTGTGGGGCTCGGGAAGTAGAAATAAGTGATCTTTATTTGTGAATATGTTTCATTAAAAAACTTGTGTCAAACTTCCCAAACATAAAGTTTTAATAGGCCGAAGTAGTTTTGTATATCTGGACTTTATGGTTCGAACGAATTTTATTATAATATATTTTTTAAAATTCGTGCTGAAAAGCAGTAAATGTGAAACGTAATTAATTAAGTTAAGGTACTTTAGATTCTTTCTTTAAGCACTCCCCATATTTAACAATCATAAAACACATGCCATTTAAGTTTTTCCCCAGCAGTTGGCATCGCATTCCCAGAGCTGTTGGTAACCGCCCCGGGAAAAAAGTTGCTCGCTAAAAATCGAAACTTTGAGCAACTCCAGTGGTGGCCAAATCCTTGAGGTCGGTGCCAAGCCATAGATATATAGCCAACGGAAGTATAAAAGCACGTGATGTTCGGGGCGGAATGGCATTAAAAATTGAACAAAAATACAAGTGTAAACAGTGAAAACAGGTCAACAGAAAAATGCGAGCCCGGCTTTGATGGTTTGAGATTGCATGACTTGTGGTCTCGGTCTCGGTATTTGTAACGCCTCCCGACTACAAAAGACCCCCTTTTTCCCCCCGAACTGCAGGTAATTGTTGGTAAATTATCTGAGAATTGGGCGTGGCAACTGGGGAATATCTTGGTACAACTTTCAGGGGAAAATAAAGATGCAAAAAATAAAAACAGAGGAGTGTTAGAATTTCTTATACGCACCTTTAATGATTCCGGCAGATAGCGTTCTAAAGTTACCAAAATTTCTGGAAGCTCTGATTCATGCACCAAACGAAAGTGTTTACCTTCAGGAATGATTTCCATTTCTGTAACGAAAATAAAGCCAGGTTAACCTTTTGTGTAATGTCCAATTACCTCATGTTTGAGGCTATGTATGTATGTATGTTTCTTTCGGTAATGCTTGTATATTTAGAATCCCTATACGTCCATCAAGGTCTCACGTTTTGGCCTCTTTCAAGGCCAAAGCTCAACAATGGAAAAGTTTGAAAAGCAAGAGTCACCAGAGTGGGAGTCCAAAGGAACCAAAGCACACACGTCCGGATGTGGAGGATGCTCTGCCGCAAATGGTTTAACGGAATACGGATTGGCTTCCCATATCCATCGAAAGCTAGGGCCCCTGGCTACTTAGCCATTCAAATTGGTTGTGCATCGGAAGGACATCGGCAATTGAGCCAAATTAGCAGGAAAGTGCAATGCCAAAACAGGTAATCACCATCAAAATTTGCCCGATAATCAATTTGATTCGATTAACTAAAATTTTGATCAATTACCGTCATTAATTGATGACTTGATTGGACTGGAGTTATTTGCTTTTTGATGGAATTTAAGCAGGTTCGTTATATATATTTTAAGGTATTTTGTAATATAATGTTTTTTTAGTTACTGACCTCTTAACTTATAATAGCAATTTATTATTTTAGAATACCGAAAATATTATCTTAATCTGTCAGGGTAAAAACTTTCCCTGTACACAAATTTTTATGTGTAAAACCCATTTGCAGCTTAATTTGTGTTTTCTTGTTTTTATCGCAAGATTGATGGCCGTTGTGATTGATTGACGAATGCGCCAAATATCATTATCCTTCACTCGCCCATGGCATGTGCCACTCCCCCTCTGCAAACCGCCCTCCTCGGCAGGGGTTACTATGACTATTTATTGCAGTTATTTGTGTGCCCAAAACGAATGTAATAATGGGGCACATGCTGGCTGGAATTAGTATTAGTCATGTTGTACATAACCCAAGGTGGAAGGATGCAGGGCGTGACTATGGAGGAGTACGAGGACTAGACTACTGGCCAAGATATGCCACGTATCCACATCACGTCTGATTCGGCTCAGACGGTGCTAAACACTTGGGTCTCTTAGCAAAATCAATATCAGACTTGAGCATTTGCTATTCCTGCTGACAGCATTCTTAATCCACAGAAAAAAACGTATACTGTGCAAAAAAAAAATGGTAGTGAATTAAAATAAACTTTAAAGATCTTAAAGTAGTATCATATCGTATAAATTAATTGTTTTATTAATTGCCTTCAATTCTTTAACAAGAGACTAGAAATCTTTAGAAATTTTCTATTTCTATTTTCAGTTCTTCGACAGACCTTTCTTGAATTTCATCTATAGAATTTAGTTCTTATTTATCACTTTAATCTTCTTTCCAATATAATACTATTCCCCTGTGAACTTTCCGAGTTGCACAACTAAAAAATAGAGAAGCAGGGTGGTTGCCTTAGAATGATGGGTCTGATATGACCGTTTTTGTTGATTTTATGGATAAAAATACCGTTGACATTTCACAGCGACACCGCCGCGGGGTTCGAAATGCAGACGCGACACCGCAGGTGCCGACATCGCAAATCCCGAGCCCTTTCTTCTCTATAAGTAGTACGGGCTACCCCCGCCCACATCCGCCCACGCCTGCTCCTTTACCTGTGGCATGCTATCGCACTTGTCAGCCAATTTATTTCGGTTACGTTTGCTCTTTTTTTCGGCCTAATTATTGAGTTGCCATATGGCTGTGATGCGTTAAATTTTAATACCCTGTCCGGAAGGGCATCATGAATTGGTCATGAGTTGGCTTCCCTTGAATTCCGATGGGATGGGATCGGAATTAGGGTGAAACGCGTCGAAAGTGAAAGGAGCGGGGATGAAATTTTTGGCAAATTCCAGGAATAAGGAATTTGCAAACACAGAAGGATCGACAAATAAGGCAAGAAGAGAATCGGAAGATGGTCTGAATAAATCACAGGAGATTCAGGTAAAAATAAGTTAAGATGTATACAAGGATAATAAAAGAAAAGTAATAAGAAATAAAAGAAAATGTAAGGTAGAATGAAATTAAATAGGATACAGTTTTGACAAAATGTAAGGAATAATGGGAATCTAAGGATTATATGGGAACAGTTAAGAAAATCCGCAGTAGTTCGGTTTGTTAGGATACAAAAGTTAGGATACAGGGTTTGTATATTTTACAATCTATTTGCATTATTATTAATGATACGATCACATCGAGAAACGAATTTCTATGAACCCTTGGCGGCTGATTACAGATGCGATTTCTTGAGGCGCATCCACGCTAATTGACATGCACATGTGCACTTTCAGGAATGGCGCACAGAAAAGTTAGCGACATGTTCTCAATTAAAATGAAAAAATCAGATAGCTTCCCAGAAAAATGTGCATAGGATAGGGCACAATCCCCCACACACAAAATCGGCACAATGTTTTGCCTATGAAGTGCACTTACAAAAAATATTAATTCCGTTGACCTTGTGTGAATTTGAGGCTGCCTTGGCTGGTGGTGCGGCTTCTGCTTCTGTTTCTGCTGTTTGGTGGTTGTGGTGGTGGTGCTGCTGCTTTTGCTTTTGCGGTTTTCGACTTTATCCTTGAGGCGTGTCAGCTTTGCGTGTGCGATATATATTTATATTTATTTTCTACGCTCACCGAATTATTTGTGATTTATGTTTGGAAATTTATAAAATTAATTTGGTTTTTGTTTTCGTCAGTTATTTGTTGGTTTTGAAAAAGTGCAGTATGAAAATAATTATTTGTTGTTTATTAATTTTTGTTTTCTTTTGTTTTTTATATGCAAATCACAGATGTCTTTATTAGAAAAATTTAGTTATTATTATTAGGCTGTTTAGTTGATAGTTTTGTTGTTATACTTTTGGAAATTCTGGAAGTTCTTTTTCGATTTTTTCTTGCTGCTGCTTTTGGTTAGGCCTCTTTTGAATGGAGATGTCGGCAGGCTGTGATTGATTTTTTCTGTCGATTGATTAACTGAGTGGGCCTAACTCGATGGACGCGACTGTTGTGGGCTGCCTGCGCCTCTGAATTTACAGTTAGTTCTCCGCTCCTCTGCGTCCCCTCTTTTTGCTCCTCTTTCTAGCTTCTCGCTTTTAGCCCCCGTTGCACCTCCACCACTGATGGCCTAACCAGGCGGCGTCTCTGCGCTTTTTACCGTTAACGTCCAGGCGATTCTCCGCCTCTATTTGTGTGTGTGGCGTGTGTGTGCTACGCGCGTGAGTGTGTGTGCATGGCGTTTTGAGAGGTGGGCGGCGGGAAGAAGGGGGGTCGGCTTTGGAGTTTTGCAACCGATTATTATTCTCGGTGATTCGCTCTTCGAGACGCGTCTATTCGTTGCAATTTGTGTATTTTAACAGAAAATTGATTTTCCTCTGTGGGCTGTCCTGATTTCAGCTTCCTCTCGTCCTGTGTGGGCTGCTAAATCCTGGTGGCGCCCTCAGTTTTGATTTACTTCAGTTCAGTTTTCTATATTTGTTGTTTTTTTTGTCGTCGTTTTTTGGCCACACACAACCAAGGACACTCACGCACACACACACACCGACACACGCACCCACAACGGTACACGCACAGTGGAATCGAATTTGAGTTCGAATAATTCGATTGCGTCTGGCTTGGGAACTTTTTGCATCAACTGTGCCTATGGACTGCTTGCTGTTGCGTTGCCACTGCTGCTGCTGCTGCTGCTGTGTTGCTGCTCCAATTCGCTGGTGCTGCCTTCGCCTTGGATGGATTCTCCTCGGGCTGCGTTGGTTCTCTGCCTTGATGTCCACTGCGAAAACCGAACTGAACTGACTGGCTGACGACGACGAACTGATTTCGGAGCAGCCAGGAGCAGCAGCCACGAAAGCGCCGCAGCAGCAACAGCAGCAGCGCAGCAGATGTTGCTGTTTTCGCCGCAGCCTGTAGTTGTTGTTGTTGTCCCTGCCCCACAGTGGGCAGACTTCTGTACTTCTTTCAAGGTTCTAGAGGGCTCTCGAATTTATTTTTAGTTTTAGCTCTAAGGATTCGTCTATGCCTAATTAAAAAAAAATAAAAAAAAGGATACACAAAGGGTATACCATTTATCTAGATATTTTTAATTAATAAATTTTAAAATAACATTGTGTCCTGCTGGAATTTAGTATGTAACTATATTTTTATTAAAACTTAAAAAATACTTTCATCTTTTTAATAGAAATTTATATTTTACGAAGTATATTACCAAAGGATCTCAATTGTAACCTTCCATTAAAAATGTGAACGAATGGTTTTGAAACCACTGTGCATCGCTTGCAAATTCGAGAACGAAGGAAACTGCAACGTGGCAGCGACTTCGTCATTTTTCGCCTCGTGAATTTGTTCTCTCGCGCTCTAGGCCCCCTTTCTCACCCTTTTTAATTCGCTCATCTCTCTCTCTCTTGGGTGCACCAGGAAAAATGATTGCAATCCGAAGAAAAGTAGTTGCTCACAATCGATGCATTTTAGCGTGAATCACTCAACATTTTTTTGATAAATGTCGGTCCCAAGAAATAAATTTACCTAATGTTTTGATTCTACTATAGTATCTAACAGAAATAAGTTTAAGTGCCCCATGAAGTATGCAATACTTTTAAATATACATTTTTTTATGAAGACCTACTAGTTACGACTTAAAATTAAATAAAAATAAATATCCGCGTGTTGACACTCCCTAACATTTCTCTCAGTGCCTGCTGGCTGTGTCCGCTCGTCCTCTTTTGCTGTTTACCTCCCACTGCCGCCTTGCATTTGTGTTGGTACTGTCTCTCCCGTGTCGGTGTTCCACATCCATCCCCATCTTTGTGCGCGAGAGCGAGCGAGAACACGCGACCAAAAAGCCGACCATTCCCTTCGACTCACTCCAACTCCTTGAAGAGTCGGATGAGGAGTTTGGCTTTTGTTTTGCACGTTGCCATTGCCATTGCCCAGCGGTAACTGTACACCGTGCCGGATTGGGATATGCGTTTTCAAAACACATTAGCGGCAACAAAAGCAACAAAGGAATAAAACGAAAAAAACGGTGGAAAATGGCCACGGCGTCAGCGCAATACGTATACGCCACGTAGCGCCGCCACTTTTTGGAGCACGTGTCACCAAAGCCGGTCTCTCTCTCACTCTTTCTCTCTGTCTCTCTGCATCCGGCGGCCTGTTGTTTTTGTAAACAAACAATCAGCCGCTCAGCTGTGAGGACGAAGAACCGTTGTTTCCTTGCCCTGCCGAAAAAAATCCATTTTAATCGCCACCATTTGGAGTGATATGCCAACCGAAATCCGGTCGACTTGACCGGAAAGCCATACGGCGCATCAAGGTCGCGTGTGCAATTGACATTTTTATTGGCATTAAGTGGTGCAGGGACTAGTTTCGGTTTTAGTAGTTCTAGTAATTAAGGCAGACATGAAGACGCGCCAAAAAACAACGCCCAGAGTGCTAGGACTTCCAAGTGCACTTAAAAAAATCAAGTTCCTAAATAGAATCCTAGATTTGAATAAGGAACCAAAGGATAGTGGTCGAAATAATACTTGATATTTTTGATAGCCTACTTTTTAAAGCAACAGATCTTGAATTCCATTACGAAGAATGCGCAATAAATGTTTATAGTTTTTTCAAAAACATATCCTGCACTTTTCTTTCGGTGCTTTCGAGTTGCGACATGCCACATGCATCATGAATCACGCAAATTCGAGGCACGCAAAGACAATGACGCCAGCCCCCCGCCTGCCACGCCCCTTTTCGCACCACTCGCTTGGTGTCGAGGACGCATAACTCCGGCGTTTGTAATCAGGGTCGTCATCGCGAAACTATAGTTATAATAGATACAAAAACTTACCCTCGCTGTTGGCATTTCCAAGGAAACTTTGGTCGTAAAAGCCGGAATAACAGTTAGCATTCATACCGCCCTTTAAAGTCTATGGCATTTAGTCAGGTGCCCAAAGACGTAGCGAGGGGGGATAAATTGGAATTGGAATTCGGATCCCGGCAGTGAAGTGCCGACAGCCGTTTGACAGTAAAACTCTGGCCTTGGGGCATCTATTAAAATTTATATGCAACCGAAACTGGAACTGGACGCCACCAGACAAGATACACACTGTACGGAAAAGAGGGATCCCCATAACCATACGATGTAAATTGATATTCATTTAACTATTATTGCTTAAATGGGCTTAAAACGGAAGTGAAATGCTGTACCAAATGACTAATCCATGTGCACAGAAAGAAAAAAAAACCGACATTTAAAAAAAATGTTTGAAAATTTTAGATATTAAGGTCGTGTGTTAAATATCCTGGCTAATTGTCTTTCATAAATCTCACATCTGTTTTGCGTTGAAAATTTATATTTTTAAAAATAAAAATTAAACATTATTAAATATAATTAAACATTTTATAAGAATGTTGAAAGATTTTAGATATTAAGGCCATGTGTTAAATATTCCAGCAAATTTTCTGCTATAAATCTCACATCTGTTACAATTTTGGGTTGAAAATGTATTTTTACAAAAATATTATTAAAATTTATAAAAATACATTTTCAACCTTTGAATACCATCTTTCAATTTATATTTTTATAAAAATTAAGGCAGAAATTTAAACAAATATTAAACGAAAGCTTAAATATTTTTCTCAGTGCCCTTTGGTTTAGGGGCTTTCCGCGAACTGCGGTGTTGACAAACTGTTCGCAGAGTTTTTGGCTTCGTCGGCATTGCTTTGGCGACTTGGCGCCTCGTCCTTGGCATGAAGTTCGGCGCTGGCCTTTAATTAGCTTTACTCGGATTACTCATACGCCGTGGGGTCTGGGGCGGTTGATGGCTATGGGTGATGGGTTCTGGGTGCCGGTGCCGAGCCGGGATCCATTGTTTCAGCACTGGCATGCGGATGTGGTTGGGCTGGTCAAACGTGCATGTCGGGCACGTGTTCGGTTCGGGTTAAAGTTAAAGCGAGCGCTCTTAATGTCAGGGTCAATGCAGAATGCAGGGGTCTTGCATGTGGGGCCGATTGAGTTGAGTTTGGTAGCCCCAAAGACCACTTCCCCACCACAGTCCAATATTTGAGGCGTATAATAGCACTGACGTTGCATAAATCAAAATATATAGTATGCATTCAAAAAACCAGCGAAACAAAAGTTGAGTTTACAATGTGTGTTGTTTGTTGCTCGAGAGATACAATATTTATTCAAAAGCAATTGGCCGGGCGCTTCTGTCGGCGACAGCTGCACACTCGGGGGACACTTTTGTCACACACACGTGGCCAAAAGGACAATATAGTACATAATGAGTACTATAGGGTATGCAGAGAATGAAAGTGGCCTTGCCACTGGCAATTAGAGTTATTTTCACTCGCTAAAGGGGACATGTGCTGCAACGTGCCCACAAATGGCCAAAAACATGGGCATAAATAACTCAGGTGAATGTTATGGACATTATATATTTTAGAGGTTGATGAAAGGGTGAATAATAGAATAACGATTTCTGCATTCATTAAAAAGTAATAAAAAAAGGAACAAATTTTGAGGTCAAAATAATTTGTTCTTTAATTTTTTGTTTTCAACGAATCTATTCTTTCTTTTTATAAGTTAAAGGTATTGAATTTTCAGTTTAAAAATTAGTTTTAATTGATCTGTGAAAATAATATTGCAAAGTGGCCACTGGTAATCGATATTTAAAAACGATTATATTTCCCGCCAAAAAAGTGTGACCAAACGACCGAAATTACGACATTTTCTAGCGTTTTGTTAGGCGCTTTGGTATTTTTAGTCACTCCACCGATGCCTCCAGCTGTTTGTTCAATTTCAAAACACAACTTAAATAAAATAAATTCGTAGAAAATGTCTACATTTAAGCCGAAATTCTTGAAACCAGAGACCGATGACGCAATTACGGATAGTGTGGGTGGCGAGCAGCAGTCCACCGCCTTTGTATTCAATGCCAATCACAATTTGGGACTCGTGGAACAGGTGGGTTTACCTATAGCGGCTTTATTATTTGTGAAATTAAATTATTCTATTAAAATAATTACAGAGAGAACGCTTACCCATAAGACAGTATAGGGATCAGATACTCTACTGTTTGGAAAAGCACCAGGTGGTAATTCTAGTGGGTGAAACAGGCAGGTTAGTAAGGTTTTCAGGAGTCCCCAAAGAGTGTTCTTAACTTTTTGTGTTTTCTTATGTTTTTCAGTGGCAAGAGCACCCAGGTGCCCCAATATTTGTACGAATGGGGCTGGCACTCCAAGGGACTTATAGGCATCACCGAACCCCGACGGGTTTCCACCGTATGTAATCCTTAATAATTCATCTTAAATCCCAAAATAAAGACTTCATTTCCAGGTCACCCTGGCCAATCGCGTGGCCCAAGAACGCGGTGAACTGGTGGGCGATACGGTGGGCTATGTGGTGCGCTTCCTCGAAAGAATCACCGCGGAGACCAAGATCAAGTTCATGACCGAGGGCATCTTGCTGCGCGAACTTCTCGCCGATCCCCTGCTCACTCAGTACGGCGTTATCATCGTGGATGAAGCCCACGAGCGGAATATGCTCACCGACATGGTGCTCGGTCTGCTCAAGAAGATCCTTCGCAAGCGCAGCAGCCTCAAGCTCATCATTTCATCGGCCACCATAGATGCGGGCTTCTTCAGCGAGTTCTTCAGCTGGCCAGGATCGGGAGAAGTTAGCGTTAAACTAACTATTGAAGGACGCATGCATGCCGTGAGTAATTTCTACCTCAACGAACCCTGCGCCGATTATGTCAAGGAAACGGTGGAAACCATATGGAAGCTCCATCAGAAGGAGCCTCCTGGCGATATTTTGGCCTTCCTAACCGGCCAGGAGGAAGTCCTGGAGGCACTGGATCTCCTGCGCGAATACATAGCCAGCGCGGAGCAGGAGAACCTCAAGGTGCTGCCCATGTATGGCAGCATGTCCAGTACCGATCAGTTGGCGGTGTTTTTTACACCACCCAAAGGAGTGCGCAAAGTGGTGCTGGCCACGAATATTGCCGAGACTTCCATCACCATACCGGGCATAGTTTATGTCATAGACTGTGGCTACGTCAAGGTGAAGTGGTACAATCCCAAGACCTGTAGCGACAGTTTGGTCGTAGTGCCAGTCAGCAAGGCTTCGGCGATCCAAAGAGCAGGACGAGCGGGTCGCATGCGTCCGGGAAAAGTATACCGTTTGTATACGAAACCAGACTTTGATGCCCTTGCTCCTCGGCAGCCTCCGGAGATGCGACGCAGTGAAATGAGCGGAGCTGTACTGCAATTGAAAGCTCTGGGCATTGGGAACATACTACGCTTCGACTTTCCCTCACCGCCGCCGGCACAAAATCTTCTTTCTGCGCTGGAAGGACTCTTCGCCTTGGACGCCATCGATGAGCAGGGCAATCTGACCAAGCCAGTGGGCTATTTGCTGGCCGAACTGCCCTTCAGCGCCATGCTTTCGAAGATGCTCTACGTTTCCGGGCAGATGGGCTGCTCCGAGGAGATCATAACCATCATTGCAATGCTGCAGGTACAAACTATATTCTCGCGACCAGCTTCGGCGGTTGCTCAGCAAAGTGGACGCATTGCCCATCGACATTTCGAGGTGGCCGAGGGGGACTTCATAACGCTCCTGAACGTCTACACCGGCTTCGTGGAGGAGGGCATGACCAAGGAGTTCTGCGGCCAGTACTACCTCATCTACAGAAACCTCAAGAGGGCCCACGAACTGAGGGAGCAGCTCATCACGTTGGCCAGGAAGAAGTACGGCATTCCGATCTTCTCGTGCAAGGGAGATGTGGAAACGTTGTGCAAGTGCATCACTGCCGGCTTCTTCACACAGGTGGCTTATTTGCATCATTCCGGAGTTTATCGACAGATTAGCAGCGGCACAGAACTGGCCATTCATCCAAACTCTACGCTATATACTCTGCCGCAGGCGCAGTACGTGGTCTATGGTGAACTGCTCCAGACGACCAAGTTGTTCATGAACCAAATCACGGTGATCAAGAGGGAGTGGCTGACGGAATTGGCTCCTCATTACTACCAGCAAACTACAGTGCGGGATTAGCAGGTAAAGTAAGCTAATTTGTTTATTTAACATTCAATTTATTAATTAAGTTTATTTTAACACTATAGATAAACGCCTCTTGAAAACAACTTAAGCTAAAAGGATGTGATTCGGTGATGATTTACATGCGGAGTCTAACCAGCGGCAACGCGTCCTCGTCCCTGGAACAACATCATAGACTCTGGACCACGAATGACACGCGACATCAGCTCCCAGCACATTTTGGCAGGCAAAAGACTGAAAAACCGAGAATAATTACCTTAAAAATTAATACATTTTAATGAATTTACCCACCATTTAAGAGGAGTCAGCAGGCGAATGGAGTTGGGCAGGACGCACCACACCTCGTTACAGCGAACGGCGTTCTCGATGCGATCCGCCACATACTGCGGCTCCAGCATGGGCATCATCCGCGGACGAACCCCGGAAAACATGCCCGTATTGATGTAGTACGGACAAATTAAACTCATCTGGATTTGATCGTAGCCATGGGCCTTCAAATCCGTGAGCAGACTCTCGTGGAAACCGATGCAGGCGTATTTGGTGGCCGCGTAATCGCTGCAGCCGTAGGTGCCCAGCATTCCAGTCACCGAACCCACGGTCACAATGTGACCACGATTATTCTTCATCATGTGCGGCAGAAAAGCCTTGACGGTCCAGTAGTGCGAAATGATGTTGATGTTGTAGGTGTTTTGGATGACCCGATCGTGAAGCTCCCAGAAGGGTTTGCAGCACACAATTCCGGCATTGTTGATCAGAATATCCACTGGACCCACTTCCTCGGTGACCTGGCTGGCCCGCTGGTAGATCTGCTCCCGATCTGAGATATCAACCACGTAGCCCTTGCAGTTGTCATAACCATGCTTGGCCAACAAATCCACTGTTGTTTTAATGGCTGCACGGAAAATTTTTTGTCAAATATTGTTAAGCTAATCAAATTGTAAATGTAACAGCTTTCACTAGCTACCGGGTTTTTTGACCCGCCTTGCAGAAGCTGTGACCGAGTAATTAGCATCTAAGTGCGATTTCTCAGTCCCCTACCTTCTTGATTGATATCCCAGATGACGATGCGGGCCTGAAGTCGAGCAAAGTTAAGGGCAATCAAGCGACCCACGCCTCCGCCACCTCCTGTGATGAGCACCACCTGGCCAGAGACATCCTGTAATTATAAGGTAACCATTGTAAAAATACATTCTTAAATGTATTTATAGCTGCTAAGTTTTTATAATTGCTAGAAATTAACTTCAACGAATAAATATGTTTAAAAAAATATCAAAATGTTGTTTATTTTACTATAAGCAATTAAAATTATATTATATTTTACTATACTTTATTATAAAATTATAATATTATAACAACAATTACTTTAATTTTATTAAGGCTGGTTTTTGCTTCATTTTCATTTTGTAGTCATAAACTGTAATATATGTAAGCAAACCTTTTTAGCATACGAAAAAGGTGCGACTGTCTTTAAAATGAGTTGGCCATTTTGCATAATTTAAAACTGTTATTTTGGCCAACGAGTGACTTGCATCATTTGCTTGAATCATAATATAAATTATGTTTCGCAAGTATGTCTCCAACTTTTATTTTGTTGGCACCACAACAAAGTTCAATCAATTTGGAGTTCAATCCTCTACAGCAGAGCATATCAGTTTGGTCGTTGCAGTGCAGAAAAGGAAGCTCTTTCGAACTGCCTGCTAGGCAGATCTTAACTTTTCCTTTTGGATTGCTGGTAATTTATATGTATACTTTTCTATGCAATTTTTTTTTGTTTGGTGTGCGTGGAGCGTGCACTTTGCAACAACAATAATGACTAAGGAAAAGGCAAGGTTTTGGATGAGGAAAAACTTGTTGTCATACTAAGCTGGTTACTGCTTATTGAACTGTCAAGTCACGGATATATTTTTGGACAGAAACTGAAGATGCGTTTAGGCATGGCAAATATTTATGCCAATCAAGTAAATAGCTTAAATTCAATGTCACCCATAGGCTTTAGTCAATTGAAAACAAAGCTCCATAAGACCAAGTAATCAAGCAAATATTTAAGCTAATATTTAAAGAGCTCGCTGTTCGGGTACTCAGTTTCATATCATGGGTAAAGTGTGCAGAAGCCGAATGTTTTAAATAGAGAAGGGGTTCATTCATGAATAGCCAGCAAAGCGTGTGAACAAAATTGTTTACCATCGAAGCGTATCAAAACAAAGAAAGAGGTTTGTTCAAACGCTTTTTACGACAATTTTATAAGGCTTGCAAATGAAGTTTGGAATATAAATTTGGGAAAGTTTTTAGACCCTGTGTAAAAACAAACAACCAACCAAACGTTTCAGTTGGCTTTTCTAGCCAAAGAGTATCATAAATTCGATTTGAACACTCATATTGTTTTTAAAAAAGCGTGCATAATTTGTTTTTATTACCACAAAACTGCGCGTGGCTCATTAATGTTTGTGAAATTGCCAAAACTGACGGTGGGCAAAAAAAAACACAAGAGAAATGACTTTGAGGTAGCTCTACCTATGATTGATTTGAAGTGGTAAACTGGAAGCTGCTTTAAAAATACTTTTTTGTGGGTGTCTCTTGTTGTGCAATCAGTGCGGCCCAGGGTCAATCGGGGAAAGAAAGTCTATCGAGCTTAGATTAAAATATGCCCATTTGGATTGTACCTTTAACTTTCTAAATCGCTGGGGCAGCAGGCTGTAGTAAATCGATTCGAGTATGTAAAATATAGATTTAAGGCTGAACACTATCAGGTCGAGGAAGAACTGATAGAAAGCCTTGAGCGGATGATCCATATGCAGAAGCCCCGGTGAAGCAGTCATGATGATGGATTTGATTTCTCGCCCTTGGCAATTAATTTCGTGGGGTAGGTTACACGTGCGCGGGAGTTTCGTTGTGGGTTCGGCTTTTATATTCCTTGCGCATGCGCGGCTTGAATGGCTGATTAGGGCTGTGGCACACCGCACAAATGGCACTCTGCATGCACAATTTGATCACTTTTAATGGCTCCTAGACGTGCATGTTAATGATCCCGCATAAATGCAAATTCGCTGGAATTTCTCTGTCTTCCTATATGGCCGTCTCGGATTTCGATTCGCACGATCTTAAGCACTCACGTCCGCCTAGGCTGAAGTCACAATCCCCACTGAACAAGCGTCTGGCGAAAAACCGAAAACCTCAGGCCCAAACCAACGCTGTTTCTATTTTGTTGCCTTTTTCCATTATTCGAGACTCGAGATTCACATTCACACAATGGCAGAAGAAATGGTTTGGTCGTCGGCAGCATAAACCGAATCTGAGCACTTTCTTAATTTGGCTTTTGCTCTTTCTAGCCAAGCAGCTGGTGGCCCACTCGACCTGTTTCTTCACTCATTTTATTGTCTTAGTCGCTGAGTATTTGATTACGTTTTATGTTGATTCCGCTTCTATTCGCATGCAACATTGAACATTTGAGGCAGTCTAGACCAGATAATTAAGATTATTGTTTAAACAATACCGAGAGACTTTTTTATTAAAGTGTTTTAAAATCAGTATTTAAAATTTTGAAACGTTTTAGGTCTTTAAGAATATTTGTATTAGTAAATATTAAATTTGCATAAGGGCTGCGCAATCGAGTTTTCCAAAAAATTCTACCAAACAAATTTACAGTTCAATAAATAGAATAGAAGTTCAGACCTATAAATTTAATTTTACAAATTAACAATTTAATAATTTAATTAATTACATTTTACATTTTTAAAGGAACCCCGAAAATATGCACACTGGTTTCATGTAGGAGCACCTTAAAGTCTGCAATGCAATTCGTAAAACTTAATAATATAAGCACCATTAACTTAATGTGAATTTTACTTTATTGGAAGGTAAAAGAGTATACATTTTCTCGAGGAAACGATGACATTTCTAAATTATATATTTTGCACAAAAACACAGATACAAGAGTTAGAGAAAGCAGACATAATGGTGCAAATTGACTAGCATTAGTCAAAAGACCAATAATTCAGAACCATTAGGCTAGAAAAAAGACACCTCACAATAACTTTTTTAACATTAATTGTAATAACAACAGGATTTTTAAATTTGAATCTAAAAATTATTTATGACTAAAGTCAATCCACACTGTGGTCTCCGATATATTTTGGTAATTTATGTTGCCTAGGGATTTCTATGAAGTAGTTTATTTCTTGCCTTATTTCATCTTCTATGTCAACTGTGTGCCATGCAACTCATAGAACAATTTAATAAAATATATAGCAATATTGGTGCAATGACTTTGTTCTCTATCGCCTTATTATTTATGACTTCTTTAGGTAATACTTTGTGTACCTAGTATATTTAGCTGATCCTCAGAGGAGGCAGCAACATCACCTGCTTTATCGATACCGATTCCAATCAATTTCAGTCACGCGGCAATCGTCACGCGGCCAACAAAACTACCGATATTTTAGCCAGGCGCCCAGAAGCCAGAAGACCGACGAGCGGCGCCCTATCGATACGAACAATCCGACGGATTTGAGATACACACAGAGTGCCAGTCACGGATACAGATGCACAAATACACACCACACAGATACTCGGAGCCGTTTCGGTTTCTGCTTCTTTTATTCGTCGCAACTTTGGTTGGTGGTTTGGGTTGCCTGCGCCCGCATGGGATTGGAATTGTCGTACCGCTGGCCCCCGGAATCGTTGCTACAGTTTATTGGTCGGCAAGCGTTCGCCCAGTGCCTGCATTCGAACAGCGAGAAAATCTAGAAAAAAACTTCAAAATTTGTGTTGGTCGAATGACACAAACCGCACACCAGGCACTCAGGATCGCATAGATGGTGTTTGCCCTCATATAGTTGGATGGTGGCTCTTATTGGCTGCCGTCACAGCTGCTAACGCTCCGCATTTCGTGCGCACACACACAGCCAAACAAAGGTCTCATGGACGCCGTGTATTGTTTTCATACCCTTGCGGAGGGTGTTACGATTTTGGGTGTGATACTTTCTGTAACTCGCTCTTTTTACAAGATATCGAAGTGGAACTTTGCCAATCGCATTCTTTTGTTATAGTACAGGAGGGGTTTGAAAATTCTAGGGATAAGACTACAAAATCTTACAGTACCCATAGTTAGGATATTTATTATTTAGAGATATTATTTATAGTTTATTTAATATATTTTTTTTAAATATGTTAATTTTTAATGGTTTAAGAAATCCTTTTTTTAATTTTATTTAAGCTAAGTAAATTGTATCATAAATTTTTGTTAACTTTTATACTTATATGAAATTTTAACGACTTTGGCAATGTTTGTATAACTTCAGAATTGGTAATATAATACGGTTTCATAGATATTTAACAACCCAGAACATCTGTTGAACATAATATTTATTAATTTACATAGATTTTCACCACAAAGAGTATGGAAAATGCGGCTCTTCGATTTAACTTCCCTTCAATTTAGTGATAGCGCCCGGCCGGCGTCAGCTGTTTACTGTGACTGGTGCGACAGGCGCAGACCAACCAGAAATGCTTTAAAGCGGGGATAAAGCCATTACAGGCCAAAGTGGCCAAATGGCCAAGTGGCCCTTGGCCAGGCGAAAGAGCAGGGCAGGAACTGCAAACGATCTGATGATGCCATTCGATAAGCCAGAGAATCTGCAGAAGAACGAGCCGAAAAACAGGTTTCCCGCTTTCCCAGCAGAACCTTTAAATCCTGTTCCTCAATTATGTGGGTGGAGTTCGTATTTCATGTGGCATTGGCCATTGTTTGGCCATTGCATTCGATGATAGGTCCCGGGCCTATTGGCAATCACAATTGTAATTGGCCTCTCATCTGATTGACTCGACCGCCCTTCCTTCCTTCCGTCCAACCCTTTTTAACCCCCGAAACCCTCGAACCCTTTTTCCGCCCGTTTACCGAGCGAATTGTATTCTGCTGGGCTCAACAGGTGCATTTTAAGGCCTTTCGATGGGGCCCTGACTGGTGTTAGAAAAATGCGGCCAACAGCAAAACGTTCTCGTTGGCTGACATTAAAGTCACTTTTTTCCGAGTACTATTTTGTGTAGTGCGATTTGTTGTATCGCGCGTCCATTAACAGGAGCCCAGAAAAAATAGTAAGCGGATTGCCGACATTTTTGCATCCGCTGTTTTCTTTGGCTCTTGTGGGTGCAGAGCGGGACAACTATATGGTTGCCGGCGTTTTTGGCATGCGCGAAAGCGAGAAAGCAATATTTTGAGGAAAGCTGTTAACGGGTTGGTGTCTTCGCTAACCAATTCAAATGCTTTTGTAAGCTTATTTTTCACTACTGAAAATAATAATACATTTAAATTTAAAATATGACAATAATTTTATAGGGTTTCGGGTTTTTTTATTTTAAATTTAAAACAAAAGTTGTATGCAATTTATTCTGCATGTTGCGTAACAAGTTATTAGAAGATCTAAAAATATAAAATCATGTTTCCTAATTATTTGTATATTTCGATCTGATTTAATTTATGATAAGATAAATGTTAACGCGACTATAAGATACCCGGTTTTCTAAAAAAAAATTTAGGGTTAATTGAGTTTATGGAAGTATAACGGGTGAAAAAAGAATGTATCTACGTCAGGAATATATATGACCTTTAAATTTGAAAGATTCAGACAAATTTGCTAATTTTCTATAAACCCATAAAATCTTATGGTGCATGAATGACGTTGGTTCTCTGCTGATTGGATAAAGAAAATTCGCAGAATATTTATGACATATATAATCGATTATTCTAAGTTATTCACGCAACTTGTTATGATGGGTTATGACGCAGGTTTTCAGACAGGTTAAAAAGAAAACCCCCGAATATATGTTGTGGTCCAATAGAACATTTATACACTCATAGAAATTTTTACCCTAAATCGCCCTAAAAAACTGACTTTTCGCCCGTGGATTTAGAAAATCGCCCATAAATCGTATCCGCTGGCGATTCGCCCGTGTATTTAGAAAAATTTTCTAAAAAATCCCGATGGAAATTTGGTTTAATTTAGGGTGATTTTTCTTGAAATAAGAAATATTTTCCTGTTTTTAGGGTGATTTGCCCTAATTTTAAGGTGTATTTTTCTAAAATTAAGGGCGAATTTTCTGTTTTTATAGGCGAATGCCCTAAAAAATTAGACAAATTAAAAAAAAACGTGTTTGAGCATGCTTAACTGAATTTGGGAAGCATGTTTTTTTTTTAATCGTCTATATTCTGGGAACTGGGACTGCTTTAATTAAACAACACCGGCGAAGGACACCGTTTTATATTATTGTATTGGTGTGTAGCTTATATGGGAGCCGCGTTAAGAGGGGGGCCCGATCTATACAGCACAGCCGTTAGAACTGAAAAATCATGTTTGTAAATGAATTAGGGAAATAAATATGAGGAGAAAAAACAACTTACTTTTTTTGGTCATTGCGAGAATCGAACCCACGACCTCTCGGTTTAGAGTCTAACGTCCTACCGCTGCACCACAGATCCCTCGCGCAACACGACGAACAAACTCTGCACACATCTTATTTTCTTGAGGTCTACGTTATAATATGACTAAAGACAACTAAACCGTATATTTTTTTTCCTGACGACTTTGACAATTAGTCCCGTTTTCTTGCCCGCAAACACAAAGTATGCTTTTAACTCAGAACTCCCGTACGTTTTTAAGGTTTAAAGACTACTTTAATTTAAAATTCGGACGAAAAAATGTCCTCAGTATTATAATGTTTCAAAAAAAAAAAAAAACATAAAAATCAAGTTGAATCACACAGGGTTCGAACCCACAACCCCACGACCTTAGTCCTCATATAGCAAAGTTGAAAGCGCAAGTGGTTAGACCGCTGGGCTACCGAATTTCACACTTTTGGAGTGATTTTTAAGGCGAATCGCCCTTGTATTTAGAAAAATTTTAGAAAAAAAATTAGGGCAATTCGCCGTTGGATTTAGAAAAGGTCAAAACGAAGCAAATCGAAAAAAATCGCCCTAAATATTAGAAAAATAGAAAAATTAACCCTAAAAATATTTTTTTATGGTCACCTGCCTTAAATTTTTGGCAAATTTGTCGTAAAAATAGAAAATTTTTCTCAGTTCAAAGGCGAAAAATTTTTTAGGGCGATTTTCTAAAATGTAGAAAATTATTTTTATGAGTGTAACCCCGCTAATAAATTTACAAAAC